ACTCCTCTCTCTCTTTTTCTTCTCACACTCTCTCCTTTTTATTTTAATCTCATACCCTCTTTCTCCTACTAATTTTCATTGTCTCTCTGGTTCTTTGCGTGGTGCTGCCTACGTGTGCGTGTTGTCAGCGTGTGCGTGTCGTTTCAAATTTTTTTTTATTATTCTTTAAAAATCAGGATCTGACAGACGCAGAAACTGTTACAGTAATCATCAGTGTTACAAGTTTTATCAAATGCTTTCGTAATCAGTTTCGTCAGAGAGAAACCCACGAGCTTACAAATATACAAATACCCAAACATACAACGATACAAACGTAAAAATCTGTTGCAATACGTTAGCGCAGAAACACGTAGACATACGTGCCCCTATACGAAAAGACCAAAATTTGTATACAAACACTAGACACACACAACACAACAGCATACATAAACACACAAACATACAATCCGTGAATGTACTAACACAGTGATAAATAAAGCGTACATAACAAAAAGACACACACACACACACATACATACATACATACATACATACATACATACAAACATAAAAACAAACAAACAGGCATACATACAAACATACACGCATACATACAAACACACAAGATAATCATATGATGCCACGCACAAACACATCAATCATCATACCATTGATGGCAAAAACCCGTTGTCGGAATAATATTAATAACAATAATAATAACAATAATAGAATAAGTATAAATGGCATTGTGAAAAACATTAAGAATTATGCGTTAATACAAAACAACAACAACAATAATAAAAACCAGTTAATAATAACAACAACAACAATAATAATAATAGCAATAATAATAGCTGATGATTTGGTTTATCGTAAAATACTCAGACAGAGCTGTTGAGTTCATGATCGTGAGGCGTGTGTGTATGTATGCTCGAATTATATACATAATAATGTATATATATATATATTTATCATCGTGTCGTTCCCGATCATGAATATATACATAGGCAACTAGCTAAGGATTGTGTGTGTGTGTGTGTGTATGGGGTGTGTTTAAGTGTGTGTGTGTGTGTTTGGTTATAGGTTAGGTGTGTGTGTGTGTTAAATTTGTGTTAAAATTGAAAATTTCGAACTTAAAGATCGCCTCAATCGAGTAACAAAAAAGTAAGTAACCAAAATCTTCCTGTCTGTTTTCATCAACTGATTTTAATCAACCCGCGATTTGAAAAAGTTCCGGTGAAGAAGCAACAAAAACTTCCACCAAACAACACAAAGCATGCAGTTGTTGATTATTTACAATTTTCTGAAAAAATCACTTCAAAGAAATCTGAAATAACGTTTTGTGACCACATTAACGCACAGGCCTAAAGTCCACGAACAATTCATTTCAGACCCCTGGGATTTCACTGAAATCATTTAATGACCCATTAAGATTATCGCACCTAATCGGATGACTTGGTGGCTTTAAGTTAATTCACTGACTGCCCAGTTTAGACACGAAATAGATGCTGCATTGATGGATGTGGAAATACTTTTTCGATCAAATTGTAATATGTAATAATTGTAGCAGCAAGTCGATGTAATGTTTAATATAATGTAATGTAATGATGTAAGTCTTTGTTTAATTTTTTTCATAAGAGTTTCTGCGATTTTGTTTCAAAAGTTTTAAAGTTTCGTTGTGACTTAAAACCACATTTATTACCATAACGTAGAATATTTTTTCATAAAACTTTGCTTTTGTGAAGGAATAAATTGAAAAATGTTTTGAAAGCCAGTGGATAAGATGGATAAAAATAAATAGTGTTGTATTTTTTTTCATGCTAAACAGCTGTATCAAATTTAACGATACCCGAACCGATCTAAATACTACCGATATAACACACACAGCAAATTAAAAAATTTACTAAAACACCACAAAGTTATTTGTGGTTATCAATAAGTCTAGAATATTTTATTGAAAAAAAATAATACAATGCTTCTAAAAACAAAATCAAAAATTCACAACGTCAGAAAGCCTAGTTCGATAGTAATTCAGTGTTGTCTTATGAACGAAAAGCAACGAAAAACGAGATTAACAGCAAAAGCGGTAATAAAAATAATTAATAATAATAATAATAATGGTAAATTAATAATAACAGCGATATTTATATTACATTTTAAAATATCATTCCGGCTTAATCATTATTAAAGCCATCATTAATATCATCACCAAAATCATCATCATCATTACAAACAAACAGACACCAAACCGTCATCATCATCACATCATCATCTTCTTCATCATCAGCATCCTTCTCCTCCTCCTCAAAGTTGCCCCCGATTCATGTACTCATCTTTACTTGTTGACAGGGTTGTGTCGTTGGCGAGGTCGATGGTGTCGTTGCTCGTCAGGGCGGCGTCGTACGTGGCGTTCGTGTGCAGGCTCTCCTCGTTGGAACTTTTGTTGTACCTGCGCGTGCGTAGTTGCCAATTTTATTCACCCCTAAACTAACCTAACAAACATGATGCGAACAAATTTAGCGTAAATTAAAAATAATTCATCTGCTCACGTCTGTTGAACCGCACATCCCTAATCTAAGCATGTGACGACTCACTATATATAGCTTCAACACGTCTGATATGTGTAATGCTGTGATTGCTTGGTTTCATTGATTTTGACAAAGTTTTATGGTATAGATTAATTTGGAATATTTTTCTTAAAATTTGAGAATAGAAGTACATAAAACAAACAATGAAAAAAATCAGAAAAATAACTCCTCACGTTTGCCTACCACGGCCCCCCAACTTTCCCTGGCAGAGGGCAACGATGGCCACCACGGTTAGAAAGATGCAACCCATCCCAAGCCCGATTAAGACCACGTAAGCGGGTCTGATCGCCAAGGGGTAGTCTGTCCACTTAGCTGTTTATTAATATTTTTATCATTATTGTCATTAGTGTTATCATTTTCATCATTGTAATTCTTGTTATCATAATTTCCAGTTTTGTTATCTTTATCGTTGTTGTCATCAACGTTTTCGTTTTCATCTTCCTCCACCTCAGCACCATCGTCATCATCCACATCATCCACGTCATCGTCATCATATATTACCTATTTCTCTGTCGTTTAGGTGGGCAAAGGAGATTCCATTTCGAGCGGGAACAAAGGGAAGGGGTGTGCTACTCATCGGAAACTGTGTCACAGTTGGGAGGAGAGGTAGCCCTGAATTGGGTGTGTTTTCTACTCCAGTTGGTGTGGTGGTGGTGCCTGAAAAGTATGACGATGACGATGATAATAGAGATAATGATTGACGATGGTTGTTGTGGGGATGTGTCCGATGTGTCTCTTTTTGTTTCAAAATTCAAAATTATTTCTACTAATGTGAATATTATTTAAAATTTTAATTAATTGATGTGCTTACCAGCTGCGAAGAATGTTGTGGTTGGGATCGTCGGTGTCGTTCTCAAGTTGTTCGTTGTGGTCGATGTCGTAGTAGTAGTAGTAGTAGTGGTGGTAGTTGTAGTAGTAGTGGTAGTAGTCGTTGTAGTGGTAGTGGTAGTAGTAGTGGTGGTGGTAGTGGAACTTGTAGAGGTAGACCTAGTGGTAGTGCTAGTTGTGTAGGGTGTTGTTGCAGCAGTCGTATTCAAGAGCAGTGGATTGACGACAGCACACTTGTGGAAGGATAAAATTTGATAGGAATACGTCTGACCACTAAATGTAAAAGGATTACCAGCGACATTGTTGTTTAGTATGTAACAGTTGATACCTTTCACGTTCATGAAGTCATAAACGAAAGTTCGCACTCCAATTCTGAAGCTCTCTTCTGCGCACGCGACAACGTTCGTGACGTATTTGAGGCTCTCTAGAGATAGTGAGTTGGCCGTGAGAGGGTCTTGAATCTGAGACACCCAGTTGTTAGCGCTGTTGTCAGAACAGTCTGAAATTTATTTGGTTTGGTTATTTGGAAAGTTCGTCTTCACTGCAATCATTTTAATGTGTCGGTTTAAATGTCACAAATAATTAAGAAATAATGTCACAAAAAATTGAATATAATTCATCTTTGAAACGTACTTCATTTAATTATAACAATGATACTAATGTGAAGAATGATTTGAATGCATACTTGTGGTGCAGAACAAGTTATATTTTGATAGGTAGTAGATTTTATTGTTAGCCTCGCCGAAGGATACCCTGCTTTCAAACTGGTTGAAGTATGTGCACGTAGTTGAGCTGGAGTTGTACGCGATGAAGACGCAGGACGAATCCATCATACAGTTGTACTGACACTGAAGCACACTTTTCACGCTGTTGTCGCTTCTCAGAGGCGTCAAAGCTACTGAGGCAGCGTCAGTTACTTCCAAAAATGTCGAACATGAATCTATAAATTTATTTTATTTCTTCACTTCCCAAACATAATTTTATTTTATAATTTTTGATCATTTTTTTTTACAATATAATTACTCGCCAACATGATTTATTCAAATTACATTCGTTAATAAAATAAAATAAAAAAATGAAAAAAATAATATATTCCTGATTTCAAAACGAACTCTGCTGGTAGGATTCAGTAAGAAGAAGTAGGAGTATTAACGAAGGAGCCATAAAGTATCTGGCATCCATTTTGTAAAATTTCATAAAAAAAATTTAAATATTTCAATAAATTATTATTTTTTAAATAAAAACGTTCAATTAGGAAGGATAATTAAAATCTTAAAATAATAACTGGCTGATCGGGATTGAGATTGACTTAAAAATCAAACTGACGAATCTCGTAACACTATCAAATAATAAAAAACTTCCTAAAACAAAAACAACGATAACTATAACTTATAAATAATAATAAGAATAATGATAATAATAATAACAATTTTGTAATAAATAAATATTAATAATGAAATGCTAATTTAGACTATACCTATATTCATGTAATATGTAATTATTGTTATGCATGGATAAGCAATAGTAATTTATAATGTAGTTATTCAATATTTGATCTGAAGTTTGTTCGTACTATATATATATATATATATATATATATATATATATATATATATATGTTATTTTTGGATTCTTACTGACACTGTATTATTATTAATATTAATATTATTATTATAATTATTATAATTATTATAATTATTATAATTATTATTATTATTATTATTATTAGGTGTGGTAGTAGTAGTAATAGTAGTTAAATAGTATTATTGTTGATTCTGTTGTTGTTAATGTAAATTACATCGTCATTGTAGTGGTTGTAGTGTTGATGTTGTTGCTGCTGATGTTGTTGTTGCTGTTGTTGTTGCTGTTTCTATATTACTTTTTAGTATTTGTGGATGAAGTTGTAACCTGATATTGCAACTGATGGGCTGTTGTTACCTATATGCTGCTTCTAGCCATTTAAGCTGTATGTACAGTATGACGTTCTCTTATAGGTAGACAATTGAGTGACGCAAGCAAGCTGGGTCGACTCGTGTGAGACAATGGGCTGGGTGAGTAAATAAAAATTATTTAATGAGATATTTTTTTTATTAGTCAACCAACATGCATCTAGCAACTTAATCAACTACTCACAACTCCATCACGTGTTTCAAATAACTAAAAATGTACAATAAAAGAGCATTAAAAATGGCTTCCAATTTTAAAATGAAATTTCTTATGTACTACAATGAGCTTGCATCTTTTTTATTATTTCCTCAGAGCGCTGTTGAGACGAGGAAAGTGTCAAACATCGAAATAGTTTCTGCAATTGGTTTTCCTTACAGTCACGCGTGGAAATCCGATTTTACATAAATATATGGAAGCAAATAGCAAAAATCATAATATTTTTACCAAAACTGAAAACAGTTGTGATTGCTTTGTTTTCCGGCCTAACGCTGATCAAAAAAGTAGCGAGTGAATGTGTGTTGCGGGAAGGTTCAATTAATATTAAAAGTATAGAACGACATGTTCAGAAGCGCAGTTCTGCAGGTATTATAAAAATGGAATAAAAAAACTTCCACGTCTTTCTCAAGTGTTGCAAGCACGCGTTTAAGCAGCTGATCACGCACATCTCAAAAGAAATTTTTAATTCTTGATTGGTCGGCCTTTGCGCTCTCATTTCCATACTCATCTTTCATTTTACGTGTTATAATAATAAATGGTTTTTTAACAGCTGACCAAGGTTATTGAATCTGATTAGTTATATGAAGGTTATGCTTCCTTTTTTTATCGCGTTGTTGGTCATTTATCCATAATTGATGAACAAATTTCCAAAATATACTGGTGATCGATGAAAGCTGAGATATAGAATACAATGATACAAATGATGATGGTCTATAATCCAATTCCTACGTCTAATTCGTTGGTATAAAGTGTTGAAAGTGTGAACAAATGACGAATGTGAAGATGGTAAACAATTTATTCGGATCAGTTTTTTGTTGATGAGTAATTGTGGTTAGCTGCAGTTTTGCAGCACATCCTGGCAATGATGGAAAGAGGGGGGAGGCAGGATATTTAACGTGTGAGTGAGACATCCAACAGTTTGATGGCACACAATGCAAGCGTTTTGTTTTAAGTGCGTTAAATGTCTCAAAGTCTCTTTTGTAATGAAGTTCGAAATACTGATTCCCTATTTTGAGCTAGTTTGTCCTAATTGCTTGGATCATGGATTTTAAAGCTATCGTGATGCTTTAACAGTTTACTAAATTTTAAACTTATGCCTTTTAATATGCTGGAATTATTTTAAAAAATAAATTAACGATTTCTAAGTATATGATAAAAACTAAAAATTGCGGTACAAAAAATTAACTCGAAATTAAGTGAGCGTGCTCTGCTATTAGATAGATGAAGAAGCGGACATATTGATTTTTGAAGAAAAACAAAGGATATAAAATAAACTGGAGGTGGCTGATAGCCATGTAGCGTAGATTCCAACAAAATTATCTTTTTCCTTCTTTTATTGTGAACAATTTGGTTTTTTATCTGTCTAGAACACTCGCATTTTTTAAATATTTGTAATTTTTTGAAAGTTACTTCGTATATTTTAGAGACAAACATCGTTTTATAATTAATTCATAATTTAGTAGATTGCTTAGTTAGTGTTCTGTTGGTTGTGATTGTATTGTACTGTACTTGTTTTGTTCGTGTTCCCGCTCCTGTTCGGGATTTATTTGGAAGAGGTTCGACAGTCAATTGAGATTCATCGTTCGAGCATTGCTTCTCCAATTGTTCTACTTGCTTCATTATACTAGTAAGAATTTGAAATTGTTTACGCTCTGGGTCTACCAATTGGCTGAGTGGTTTTATTGGCTGAGTTGCTTATTGCATCAAAATCGTCGACAGCAAACAAGTATTAACAATCAGTCAACTTAATATTCACAACCAGCCAGCATAACATCTACAATCAGCCGCTGTAATATTCACAATCAGTATCAGCAAAACTTAATTAGAAATATATTCAGTTCAAAATTAGCCAACAGGAAATTCCTAAACTTCAAATCTTATTATCATATGTCGACAATTTATGTGCAATAAGCCACTTAGGGAACTTAGCTAATACTAATAAAGTCAATAAAAATAAAACCACTCAGTCAATAAATTAACTCAGCAAATTGATCTGGTAAATTTTTTACTAAAGGATTTTAATTTAAATTTAAAATTTAAAGGAACAAGAGAATGGATCCGACACTGAATCATCAGGGGTCAAGTTCTGTGTCTGTAACAGAAACTCACAGAAAACCTAGAATGACAAACCAGTTGAAGTTTCTTGAAAAAGTTGTTCTCAAATGTTTATGGAAACATAACTTTGCTTGGCCTTTTCACCAGCCTGTGGATGCGAAAAAATTAAATTTACCCGTAAGCTAACAAATCAGTTGTTAAATATTTTATTTTCAAATATTTGGTTGTTCTAATAAAATTTTGGCACACTCGAAGCCCAGTATAACTCCTAGCTATTAAACAAACCAAGCAGAATTGAACTTCATAGAAATATAAGCATTATTAAGAAATTTTTCACTGTTACCTTTTTATGAGCATTTGATTTGTTTGAGAAAACAAAAAATTATTTGAATTGTTTAAATAAAACCTGTTTTAATTTTTAAAATTAGAATTTTTTATACAAATTAATAGCCATTACAAATACAAATACAAATTAATTAATTTATTTCATAGCAATAAAATTAACTAAAATTAAAATGAAACAACAGTGTTTAAACTTCAAAACTTTAATTTTAAGCGAGCGAAATGGCACACGTTCAACAACCAGCTGAACGCAAAATATATACTTGAACCCGCTACTTGTTGATTGGAAAAAATTCAACAACATGAGCCGACATGTTTTCAAGAAATGTTTGAAACATCATTTGTATTGACATTCTCGAGTGAAGCTAACGCTTCTGAAGTTATTCAAATCCTTAGTTGCAGATATAGATACAGAATTGCACTGAATAGAAAATTACTAAAAATATATTTTAAAGTATAAAAATAATGCGATTCATTATTTTCAATAAAACAGCAAAAGATTTCAGTTGGGGAATTCATTATCCATCTATAAATACTTTAAATTAGTGGAGTATTTTTGTTGGCTCACATATTAATTCACACACATATTCACACACAAACACACACACACTCACACACACACATATACACATGTACCTGCAGGACTACTACAAAATAATCAAACAACCAATCGACATGGGAACTATTAAGAAGAGACTTGAAACTCGGTTCTACTACACAGCTCAAGATTGCATCAAAGATTTCAACCTGATGTTCAGTAACTGTTACACTTACAATAAACCTGGGGAGGTACTTAAAACTGTGGTGTTGATGGTGGTGATTGGATCTGGTAAAGATTGAATTATCGATGGCATGACAGTAGTGTTGGGTTTGAGATGACTATGATATGTGTGATGATGATAAGAATTTGGTTTACGATAAAAATCATGATGAATTTGCATCAGTAATATGGTAACTATTCTTCAGTCATCATTTTCGATACATAATGCCTGACATGCTTACAGGATATAGTGATAATGTGTCAAACTCTTGAGAAGTTGTTCCACAGCAAGTTGAACGAAATGCCTGCCGAGGTAAGTTCTTTGCTTGCACATCTACCAGCATTGTCCGTTCTTTGTTTTATTTGTAGTTTTCTTATTTTCTCCACTCAACTGAAATGTTTATTGAAAATGAAATAACATAAAGTTTTATTTCATTATTATAAAAGTACAAAAAGGATTTGTTAATTTTTTTTTCTATTCACAAATAAATTTTAGGAAGTAGAAATTTTGCCTCCACCAAAGAAGAGCAAATCAAGTAGCAACCTGATGCGACAGCAACATCAACAGTTCTCACACATGTCCAGTTTGCCTAGTTTGCAGCACAACACCAGCAACAACAGCAACAACAACAGCTTGTTGAACAACTCTTCAGTCATGATGATCATGTCTGATGACAAGAGTCATCTGTCAAGTGACAGTGACGAGGATGAAAGCTCCATTTCAAATATAGGTCACAAATTTGGATCAACTGGAAAGTTGACCAACATGGCGGTAGTTATGCCGTCACATAGTTCCAAGGTTGCTGTTTTTTATGTTATTGTTTAGACCTTTTTTTAGGTTTATTTATAATGGGTTTTAAAATTTTTGTTTGGATTTTATATACTTATGTACTTTCATTATTGGCATGTAAACAGCACATGAAGAAAGGGGTGAAAAGGAAAGCAGACACGACGACTCCAACTTCATCAGGGTCAGCTGCCTACAACCCGTCTTCATATTCAACACCCTCGTCGTACGGGGACAGCCTGATGGACGCATCAAACAGGCAAATGAAGAAACCGAAGCGGGAAATGTTTGATGAGTTGAACAAGACAAACAGCATCAGCATTGGCGGTGGTGGCATCATCAACATTGAAATGTCCCCTCTTAGTTACTGCAAAGAGATCCTTAAGGAACTTTTCGGCAAACGACACGCTGTAAATAATTTCTTGTTTCTGTTGATGTTTTTGCTGTTGTTGCTGCAGATACTGTTGTTATTGTTGCTTCTCTGTAGTGGCTTATGTTGTTTCTCCTGATGTTTTGCTGCTGCCTGATGAAAATCTCAAACTTAATAAATTCCTAATGTGTCTTTAATATCAAAATGACCAAGCTCTCCTGAAATTTATTCAAATTCTGATAAATTTGTGCACAGTGATTGCATCTATAATTACATATATTAATAATTATTTGAGACATTCTAATTAGCAGATGTTTTGCTAATTCAGTTTATAACTTACACAACACAGGCTAGCTATGCTGGGAGAGCAACACATTATGCTGTGCAGTAATTATACTATCATCTATCAAATTCTTTGGAAAATTCCCATTAGAATGTTGCACAAGTCAGCTGTGATATTAAAATAATTAGCAGTAGCAACAGTTGAATATGATGTGTTCAGAATCATGAATGTATTGAAATAGCTTGCATAGTTTGAAGTTTTGTCATGAAATGCGGTAAACGATGTTGTTGAAAATACAGATAACAGAATTATTTACAATCCATACAAAAAAGGCATTGATATCAATCAGCCTTATCGTTTGGTTTAACATCTTAGCTTTCACAGGCACTATTTGATAATTAAATGATATTTTTTGATGGGTGTTTGATGTTATATTCGCCAAAAAATTATCAATACTAATATTTACTCATATAACTTTCATAAACAAAGATGAATTGTTAACGCCAGAAGAGTTAAATTTGAATTGAATTCATTTTGTTATGACTTGAAAACTTGCCAAGGAAATAGTTTGCCCACTAATACAATTGCACTCATTCATGGAATGTAGACAGTAGACACAATCGGAAAGGATCAATTTTTTACATCAAATTTAGATTTCTAGGAAGAGTGTTTTAAGTTGCTGATTTTTTAAATTAGTTGTGTTGCTTGGTATAAATAGTTATGGTTATGATAAGATGATGTTTATAATGATGATGATGAAAAATATGAGACCCACCCACCCACCCACCAGTCAATCAATCAACTAATTAATCAATCAATCAATCAATCAATCAATCAATCAATCAATCAATCAATCAATCAATCAATCAATCAATCAATTCAGTCAATCCAATCAATCCAATCAATCCAATCAATCCACTACAGGGATATGCCTGGCCATTCTATCAACCAGTTGACGCAGAGTTGTTAGGATTGGATGATTATCATGAACTCATTGAAATGCCCATGGACCTTGGAACTGTCAAGGTGTGTGTGTATGTTTCTGTATGTTTATGTTTGTGTATGCGTGTGTGTGTGTGTATGTATGTATGTGTGTATGTGTGTGTACATGTGCATTGCTTGGTAGAAGAGAAGCAACCACAGAATGAACTTGAACATTTCCTTCTAGCAATGAAACTTTAATTGGTCTGTGTTGAAGTAGCAACGATGACTGCAATAATTTCTCACTGCATCTTAATAGCGCAAGATTGAATCGAACGAGTACAAGACTGCCTCTGAGTTTGCAAATGATGTGCGTCTCATCTTCACCAACTGCTACAGGTACAATGCTCACGGAAGTGATGTCGTTGCAATGGCAAGGAAGCTGCAAGTCTGTATTTACCTTTTATTCTTATTTTCTCTTCTCTATTTTCTTCTAATTTGAGCGGAGTTTAATAAAATGTTTTGCACAATGCCCAGGATGTGTTTGAGTTGAAGTACGCACATACTCCTTCTTCGAAACCATCTTCTTCAGCGACGTCTGCCTCTGCAGCGACCTCACAGGGCAACCAATCACGTTTGGACGTCAAGCCCAAGTTTCAATCGAGATTCGTTGATGGCGATGAAGATGATGGAGAGAAAAGTGAAGAAGAGAGAGAGAAACGATTGAAAGAATTGCAAGAACAGGTTTGGAATGATGTGGCAGTGTGATGATGGCGAGGCAGACGTAGTTAACCGGTGATCGTATGTATTTTCATGGGATGATAATTGTGATGATCTAGACAGAAATATGGTGAAGAGATGTGATTATATTGTGATAATTTTGTTGATGATGATAATTGATTGTATGTGTCCATCGGCAGCTGAAGACAGTTCAGGAGCAGTTAGTTAAGCTGACTCAGGAGCACGCTGCAAAGGCTTCAGAGAAGAAGAAGCAGAAGAAAAGAGAGGACAAGTGTCCAACACTGCCCACGGCAACTGTCCATCCAACGACTGCTGCTGGCTTCACCTCACCCCCTCACGTCACCAACCCTCAGCCCGTCAACAATCCATCTGCCTTCCACCAGCACCAACAACCACAGAGGATGAACCAACACCAGCAACAACAATTGTATTCAAATCACCAATCCCCAGTGTTGCACAACAACAACAGCAGCAACAGCAATACCAACAGTGGCAGTTGCAACAAGAAACAACAACAACAGTACCAACAACAGCAGCAGCAGCAGCAACAACAACAACAACAGAGGCCACAGCAAATTATTGAGCCACCATTGTTCAAGTTTGATAGTGATGACGAGGACAACCAGAAGCCAATGTCATATGAAGAAAAGAGACAATTATCTCTTGACATCAACAAGTTGCCTGGTTAGTTGGCGGTTTCATTGTTTGGTTTGGTTTATTGCACACTTAATGGGTTATTTGGTGGGACTTGTTGTTCAAGTCACACACACACACACACACACAAACACATAAACACACACACACACACTCACTGATGAAAATTTATTCCCGAACCACTGCAGGTGATAGACTTGGAAAAGTGGTGCACATCATCCAGTCTCGAGAGCCAAGTTTGAAAGATTCCAATCCGGACGAGATTGAAATTGACTTTGAGACCTTGAAGCCGTCGACACTGAGGGAGCTGGAGGTCTATGTATCGTCGTGCCTCAAACGAACCAATAATCCTTACGGTTAGTTAGTTGCTGTTGTTGGGAGATGATGCCAAATTATGTATCTTTTGTATTTTTTTTAATTAATTTTTGTCTTTTATGGCCAATATCCAACAATTACACTTATGTAGTTACTTTGTTGTTATCATGAGATTGTTATGGGGAAATTTTATTTACAACAACAACAACAACAATATCAGTAAAACGGACTCAACAGCCGCAACAGCCACAACAGCAGCCACAACAACATCAAAACATTCCACCACCTAAAATTGAGTCATCAATGATGATGAACAGCAACGCTAACAACATTAACAACAACAACAACAACAACAACATGGACAACAGCCTCAACAACAAACTTGCTGGTCAAAATGTTGCTGCTAAAAAATCAATTAAGAAAGGTTGTCGTTGTGTGTGATGTCGTTTGCTTGTTTGTTTGTTTGTACCATCGGCTGTTTGTATCATCAGTTGTTGTTGCTGTTTTAGTTGTGTCTGCGTGTTATTGTGTTTGTTGTTTCATCTGTTCTTGTTAAGTTGTATCAGCCGTGTGCCAATAAGATTCGTAGTAGTTGTGATAATTTTTAATAAATGATAATAATAAATAAATAAATTGATTAATTAATTAATTAATAACGTTGCAGATGACAGGCCACCTTTGGAATCAAGTTTGCTGCTAGCAAGCAGAACAGGTAGTAGTTCCTCATTGAGTGAGTCCAGTTCCGATAGCTCATCTGACTCGTCGGATTCCAGCGATTCTGACTGTGATTAATTGGCTGACTGACTGACTAATTGATTGATTGGTCGATCGATCGATCGATTGATTAATTGATTGATTGATTGATTGGTAGATTGCCCGACTGGTTGGTTGACTGATTGATTCGTAGTTGGCGGATTGGTTGACAGCTTGGTTAACTGTCCGATATTTTAATTGAATTTGTTGGCACCTTTGATCACTTAACTTTTTAGTTTGTTGATTGAATTCTAGATCATTTGTTTGTTTGTTTGTTCATTGGTTAAGACGAAAAAATGGATGAATGGTTGTAATTAGCTGTTCTATTGTGACTGGCTGGTTTCTTTTGAATGACAGCATCTTATTGGTTGAAGTAAGTCTTTTTTATATCTATGCACGAAATTTAACAAGGCATAATTAATCTATGGTAATTTTTATGTATGTACAACATTAAATAAATTTGCATAAAACAGCAATAATAATAATTAAGAATCATAATAATAGTAATAAAAATAATCAGTTAATATTTAATATTATTTTTGTGGTTGGATCTGGTAAGAAAAGTAAATAAAATCTTATGTATCATATTTTGTTACATCACTAAACACTTGTTTCATTGCATGGGTGTATTTCTACATGTATTTAGATTTGCATATGTTTTTTTTTATTTCTTTCTGTATTTCTTCCAATAATCCGTCTATCATTTGTTCATTCGTTCGTTCGTTCATTCATTCATTCATTCATTCATTTATTCATTCATTCATTCATTCGCTTGATTGATTTTGAGCTTTTCGATGTAGAATTTATTTATGTTTGCCACGTAGTTAGTTTTTTTGCGATGAAATTTCGGTTACATGCAATTGGAAGAATATAAGAAAATTTATTTGGCATGTTGCATGCGACCATTCTTTACTTTAAACTTTTAACCACCACCAACAACAACAACACCACCACCAACAACAACAGCTATGACGTCATCATAAACAACAACAAATGACATGTACAACGTTACAACAACAACAACATTAACGTCAACAACAGCAACGATAACGTACAGACCATATCATATATCTCTATTTGATGATAATAATTTAGTATCACACAGGCATGAACTCACTTACATGAGTAATAATAATAATAATGATGGTAGTGTCTTCTGTTGGCTTTGAAATGAGAAATTAATAAATTTATTTAAACCCAGAACAAGAGATGATATACTATCGTCCGTGCATGCACAGACAAACTGCTACCATTATGTGTAAAATATTAATCTTTTGAACATTTTTTTTTTCAACTTTTTCCTTGTCTTCGTATTTTGTGACGACTTTTTTATACGCGCGCGCGTGTGTTTGTAGTGTATATTTCGCGGTTTGAATTAATAAATAAATGATGAACTAACAGTTTATATCGTTATTATTATTAATTATTATTATTATTGTTATTATTACTATTATTATTATTAACAATAAAAATATTTTTAACGATAAACGCGATTAGAATATAACAATAATGATATAAATAAACAATTAATTAGTTATAAATATTAGTTAATTTATGAATAATTAAATCGATACACAGAAGCTTAACTTTATGAAAATTTTTAAAATTGTGGGGTGGGTTGAAAATAATTGTCTGTGTATAATTTTCATATAGTACACACATACACTTACACACGCACACAACTAGTACAATTAATATTTTGTTGATGATAATATCAATAATTTGTATGCTTGTTTTTAGATATCATAAGATTATAACAAAATGTCAGAGTAAAAAATTATTACCAAGAGTCAATTGAAACATCATCATTTGTTCGTTCATTCGTTCATTCATTCATTCATTCATTCATTCATTCATTCATTCATTCATTCATTCATTCATTCATTCATTCACTCACTCACTTCATCTTTTTTATAATTAGTAAAAAGTATTTTTCGCCGGTTTAATAATTTTTATTATTATTTGTTTTATTAGATTAATATTATTTATATAATTACTCATATTATTTTTTCATCGTCATATCATTAATTTTAATTAATGGTTTTTACTTCATTTTAAACGGAAAGCAACTTTTTTGAAAGAATCTTCTTTTTGATGATGACGTCATTTTGTTTATACAGAGAATAATAATTGTAATTATTCGTTAAGAGACATTTCGAAAGTTATCGTTATCATTGATGACGACGATGATGATGATGATGACTACGATGATGATGATGTTGATAATACTTATTAAACCTTCTTTTCTACATACATATGAAATTTATGTTTGTAATTCGCGTGTTAATTTCTGTTATATTCTTTTATATTTATATATGCGTATATGTAAATATAAATAAATATATATATATTTAATTGACCAACATAATGGTTTTACTTTTTCTAAAGAAGTTTTTTATCTTGTAGAATATCTAGTTTTATTATTATTTGATGTTTGCCATTCGTCATTTTAATTCTTGCTTATATGTGTAAGTGTTTTTGTGTGTGTTCGTTC